TTACTCTTTAACGTAATAAAACTATCAACCAGCATTCACATAGGAACTATAATACATTACATGTGCTCTTCAATTGTAGACACGGGTTGGCTGTGAATACAAGTTAATACTATAAATTGATACAAAAATCAATGAAAGCATTCTGGGAGAACCAATCGACTATACAGAATGGAAAATAGAAAGTATTGGATATTTTTATTATTTGTAAATTGTGGGGTATACATTCTTCATATAAGTAAAATTTATAATAAACTTATATACGTATAAATATACACATAACTTTTTCCCAGAAAGTCAGTTACTGACATTTTCCAACACACCACTGACTCAAATACCTGCTTCCTTCCTAGCAGAGGCCCTCTGGTTGGCTCGTTTGCTGGGGCTGATGTCGTCCTCCACTGAGGCCGTGACTCCTGATTTGAAACTGTGCTCCAGAAAACTCTTAAAACTCTCTTTTTTGGTAATCCTCACTGCGGATGGCCCTGCTTCATTTCACTATATCTTCTTGTCCTAATTCCCACTGTGTTTGGGCCATTGGACCTGGGTTTTGATGTACTATTTAGAGGAGAGCTATCATTTTCTTCATCTCATGTTTTCATGAGGAAAGTTTTGCTAAAATAAACCCCCGACCAACCTCTGTCCCCTTCTTATTTCACTTACCAGGTTGATGATTTGGGAAGAGGAACTGAGTTTGCTTGCTTCAACCTGGGCCTAGAGGATATACTTAAATTCTTTGTTCATCTGTGTGGCAAACTTCCAGGAACCAACCCTGTCTGCCAGGGAGAAGCCTGCAGTTTTGGGATGTAAATTTAATTTGAGGGTAGGGTGTAAGAAGCTCCATGTGTCCCCATAACTAAACATACTATATGTAGTTTGTAAAGATGACATTCTGATCTCTGATTGTCATCTTCATTTTATTTTTTAATGGGCTTAAAACTCAGGAGGGAAAGTTATTTATTGGGCCTCTAAAACTCTACATGCTTTGACACCAAGGGTCTTAAAGATGAGGCGGGTCATCCCTAGTTACAGCTGTCCATCCATCCCCCATCGATCCCCCACAATCTGGTCCTCAGCTGTTTCGGTCCACTCAACTCCTGGTAATTTGACCTTCTAATCAAATCTGGTGGTATTTAATTTGTCTTCATATCTCTGATCTTCATGGCCCTGGTGATAATCCTACTTTAAATACTCTCTTCATTTGATGTCTTTTACTCTGATGTGTCTGGTTTTCTTTTGACTTTGGAGTCATGTAGACCTGAGTTTGAATCCTGGCTCTATCATTTACTAGCTAAATGACCCAGAATTTACATTTTCTCAGCCTTTGGTCTTAAATCTATGAAATGGGGATAATTATAGGATCAACCTCACAGGGTTGTTTGAAAATTAAGCAAGCTAAATCATGTAATGAGTTAACATAGTTCCTCACATAGTAAATCCTCAAAAAAAATGGTAGCTATTTTTTTCCCTTCTTCTTCTCTCCTGCCTGTTAGGATTTCTGAAGCTGTAAGCCATGATCCTCTACCTTTTCCATTTATACCCATTTAGAGGAATACTGAGCCTCATAGTTTTAACCAGCACACACCCTCTAAGTGCACAAATCTCTCCATCTTCACCTTCTCCTTGGAGCATCTGTATGTACATTTTTGACTGACACTAAGACATTATAGATGAAATGTCCACCTCCTCATTCTCTGCCCATTCCCAAATTAGTAGCCCCTCCAAGTTCCTCATTTCTATCAGTGGAACCCTTATTTGTCCTTGATGTCTCTCTTCAAAGTTGTATTCTTTTCTCCCCATGTCTGATTAGCATCACGCCTTACTATTCCTTCTCACAGCTGCTGGTGCCTTCGTTCCCAGGACTGGCGCCGGCACTCGCTGAGAAGCAGCTGGTGTGCTCCCCTTCAGCCTCCTCACTGCTCTGTGCCCTTGATGTGCTCGGTTTCTCCTTTGCGCTTTTGCTCATGGTGCTCAAGGGACACTTGATGATCTTCAAGTTAGTCTTTTATTATTTACTGACTTATATTGCTCTCTAATTCTTTGAAATATCTATGTCTTTTCTCTTCAAACTAGGTTATAAACTCCTTGAAGACAAAACACAGGTCATAAACTTCTCAGAATTACTGTCATTGTACTAAACACAATGCTCAGTAAAGGCTTCCTAATGGAGTGCGTTGATTGAATACAACCCCTTCTGTTAAGAGTATATAATGGCCCCATGTTGCATGTCAAGTCAATCCCAAGCTCTTCGCACTGGTGTTGCAGGTGCACTGCCAGCCGCCTCCTTCTTACCTGCTCTTACCTTTAGCTCTTTCCTGACACGGGCCCTCCATTCAGGTTGACCTCTTTACAACACACACACACACACACACACACACACACACGCACACACTCACACATAACTTACTTAGCTGGTTATTAAGATGATAATCTTTCTGTCTCTGTTTTACCCGAGACCCTAAGACTTAATACCCTGCATGGAAAAATGCAATGCCAGACCACCTATGAAGAACTAGTAAAGTAAGTAGAGAAAATCAGTTTTGTGATCTTTTGCTCAGGTAGATTGAGGTCAAGTTAGCCTGGGAAATCAGGAAGAAAATTTTTTTGGAGAAAGTTGTTTAAGTGCAGAGGCATGCCTCCCTTCTAATGGGGGCTTCGTCCTCATTTCACATCCAGTGAGAGAAACTTTAAGAGGACTCCGCAGAGGGCTTGATTTACGTCCTCTGAAGTTTCAAGGGAAAAATGGGACTGATTTGGAACTTATGATGAGAAAATTTAAAGGAGCAGGTCTGTGGCTGGAGCTGCTTGTGTGGTGTCAAAGGAAAGAAAGGTTATCAAACTGGGAGTCATGAGTGCTTTTCATTGATGATGGGACAGAGATACATGTTCCCATGGGCCGTTTGTGGGTCACATTGGAGAGCCACCTGGGTCAGTTTTAAATGAAAATAGGCCACACCCAAAGGATTTTCTGAAATAGGGCGATCTTGGCAGAAAGAAGGTGGAGGTGTTCTGGTGGACACAGAAGAAGGGGTGAGGGTTGTAAGAGACCAGTCTGAAGAGGAGCATTGCCCATATCAAGAAAGTTGGGTGTTCCAAATTGGAGGAACAAATGGGGTTGCAAATGGGGTTGCTCAAGTTGCCCACATTTCTGCCAGGCTGACTACAAATTTGGGGGTGCTCACAACTCCCTCCCAGATAATTTGTTAGAGTGACTTGTGGAACTCAAGAAAGCATTTCACTTACTGGCCCTGGTTTACTGGTTTATAATAAAGGATGCATACGACTCGGGAACAGTCAAATGGAAGAGAAGCATGGGACAAGTTCTCAGAGGGGGTGGCACAGAGTTGTCATGCCCCCTCCATGCACACCACCTTCCCAGCACTTTGACATGTTCACCAACTCAGAAGACCCCCAAATCCCATTGTTTAGGGTTTTTTATGTCATTACTTTGGCATGGTAGATTAAATCGTTGGCCACTGGTGATTGAACTCAATCTCCAGTTCCTCTCCCCTCCCTGGAGGTGGGAATGATGCTGCTGGAAGTTCCAATCCTTAACCAGGGCTTGGTCTTTCTGGTTGAAAGGGGCTTGTTAAGAATAACCAAAGACGCTCTTATCACTCAGGATATTCCTCAGGTTTTAGTACCTCGGTACCAGGAACTGGGGACAAAGACCAAATACATATTTCCTATCATCCCAAACTCACAATACCTGCTTTCCCGCTGCAGGCTTCCAGCTTGAAGCAGGCCTACAGGAAAGGAGAATCTTTTGCTTTAAATAAACTTGGAGTTTCAACTATTCAGTTAAAATGAACATTTTTATTATTGAAATAATGTCGTTCTTGTAGCCAGAATGACTGGAGGACTTTTTATTATTAAAAATGACCTAGAAACAGGTATGAGTCCTGCCTGCCATATTATACCAGCAGTGGAGAGGAAGGGACCTAAGGAGCAGGTTTATGTGGACAGGAGAAAGGGAAGGAAAATGTTATTGTTCCCCTCGAAGTACCTCTCTTTCAGCATTATTGTTACGTTTTCTGATGCGGAGAGGTGCATGAGTGCACATATGCACCTAGGAACTAAGTCGAACTCATCTCCTCCCTGACTAGCCCCAACTCACACAGCTCTCCCTCTTGGAATTTCTAGTTTCTATTTTTAAAACCATATAATCTAACACTTAAATATACAAACCAACCATTCATCTCTATTGGTCTTATTTCATGTGTGTGTTTTTGCCTCTTATTGTTATGCTAAGCCTTTCACGAGATACCAGTGTGTTTTATTTTTCGCTATTTCTTATATATTCTCACACTTGTACCCTAATAAAAACTGCTTGATTAATCAATCAGATAGGTTCGAACTTCACGACGACATCAAAAGTTGGTTAAGTGTATAAACATCCAGTTTGGTCTGAAATCTAAAGCTAAATCTTTCTGTCTCCTGAGGGAAATGCCGGCCACCTTGACTGAGCTTGCCAGTATTTTGGGTTAGACAATGAACTGTTGAACAGAGAGTGCTGGTGAAATAACAAAATTTATGTCATCTTTTATTTGTTGGTGAAAGTTAAAATACCAGCGGGTGTGGCTTGGTGCGTGATCCAGTCCTCTTCAGGCATTGGACTGGGAAGATATCTGCAGTCAACTTGCATGTTACTCTGTAGAGCTGGAAGAGTCTCCTAGGCAGCTGGAAGTGTATTCTGTGGCCAGCCTCTCTCTAAATTGCTTTAGTTATGGACAGAGAAGGCAACTCTTCAAGTTTCCACCTTCTTTGTCTATGCCTCTTTTTTTCTTGCTCCTGGAAGGTGACGGAAGTTGGTCTGATTTTATTAATCTGCCCATCTACCATGGTGACAGCATGTTTGAATACTCAAAGGCATGAGACTTCTCAAAAACATTCTAGAGTTCCAGGGACAGTAATAGGTTGATGAATCCTTGATGTCTCTGTGAGCCGAATGAATGAACCATATGCATGCGTTGAACCGATGAAACTTTCTGCTTCCTTTACAGGTGATTCAAGCCTGCCATTCCTACCCTAAAGCAATCGAAGTTGTAGTCAATGCCTACGAACACATCAGGTGGAACGTAAAGTGGAGAAGAGCTATCCCAGATGATGACTTGGAGGTAAATAATCAATTCGCTTCCTATGGTTTTCCCTGTCAGGTATTCCCAGACCACAACAGAAGTGCAGAAAATTCTACTTTAAAAATTTGTTTTGAGAATGCTTTTAAAGCCTACTCAAATGCAATGAGACAAAGAGTTACAAAATGCAGGTGCAAGAGTAAATAGCTCCATCAAGAACATGGCATTAGGTGTAACCATAATGTTTGTACCCTCATAATAACCTGAAATAAAAAAAAAATTGAAAAAAACAAAACAAAACAAAACATGGCATTAGGAAATGTTTTGGGGAATTTCTCTATTTGAGGGAAAGTTGAATAAGTATATAAAGATGGCAACTTTACTTTCTTTCCATCAATTTAGATGAATTAAATGATAATATCTGGTATTGCTCATAGAGCATTTTTACTAGCAGATGAAAGTGTTTTCTGTGGATTATTTCATTCACTTTTAAATACCTTGAAGTGATTATTAGACAGGAAACAATATTAAAAACCCTGTCTTGGGTCATTCAGAAAGCCATTGGCAGAGGCAAGTCCTCACTTGTGGACTTACGGACTTTGCTGCCTTTGTAAACCAGTCCTTCCCGCTGAGCACCCTGTTTTTGGTTTTAGAAGTCAAAGGCTATGTCCACCCCATGGAGAGGTATAAGGCAGAGTGCGAAGTTCACTGGGCTTGCAGTTCCCTGCCTTAGGTGCAGTCTTATTCTGCTACTTATTAGCTACATTAACCTTTAAAAGTTGCTTAACCTGACTGAGCTTCATTAATCCTCCACTTCCATTAAATATCTGAATATATGGGTCACTCCAGGCACATAAAGGGCATACAATAATATTTATACTAATTTAAAATTGTTATTTTGACTCGTGCAGGCAGTTCACACAAGTATATTTTATCTCATTTCCTGGGTTCTGAGTTATAGAGTGTTATTTCCCCCCTTCTCTTCTCTCTCCTTGTATACCAGCTCCTCACCACCCCCATTTCAATTTCCTGTATAATTTTGTCTCCCATCGGAGACCCTAGAAAGCTGCCATTATGTGTAGGGTAGGGGCTAAATGCATCATTGTTGATTTTTATTGACGTAAACTGTGGGACCTTTCTAATTTTAACCTGTCTTGCCTTCCTTTTCAGAAATACTGGGATTTTTACCACTCTCTCTTCACTGTGTGCTGCAACTCTCCAAGGACTCTCATGCATTTATCGAGATGTGCCATTAGAAAAACGTTACACAACAGATGCCACAGAGCAATTCCTTTGCTTTCTCTCCCATTGTCATTGAAAAAGTACTTGCTTTTAGAGCCAGAGGGAATCATTTATTAAGCCTTATGAGACAGCAGTTCCCAATCCTAGATATTTAAGTGGACTCGCTGGGTAGACACAGTTTGCATAAATAAAATGGTACTTGGGTTGATTATAACACTTCAGGGATTTCAAAACACTTTACAAACACTCTGTCATTAATCCTAGGATAGCATGGTGAGTGGAAATAAACAAGGAATAAAGTTAAGGAATTTTCAAAGACAAGAGTGTACCCAGAAGGAACTGTGATATAACAGTGATAACTAATATGTATAGCGCTCTTTAGGTACCTGATACATTTTTATAAAACTTTTCAAATATTAATCAATCTCATCGGAAATGGGACCCAGGTTTTCTCACAATCAATCTCCTTCTCTACCATCCCAGTAGTAAGTTTACATTACCGTTCAGTTCCCAATAGAGCAGACTTTGTGATTGGCCTCAAACTTGGTGTCTTCCCCCCATTACCACTTAGCAGTAATTACTGTCGTTGCTTGTTTTGCAAACTCCTATTCCCCAAACCAACGCACTCAACTTATTTTACTGAAGAAAGCACATGAGCGTAGTCAAAACAAGGAGATCTTTGAGTCAAATTAGAAATGAAAGAGGAAGACCAGTCCACTTAATAGTCAAGGTTGGACATGTTAACACACATCGTTGAGCCAGAGAGTGGAGGTGACAGTGAGTCCCATGTGACTGCTGCCCTCCGAGATCTCACCATTTCGCAAAGGATCCAGACATACAGGCGGGACACTGCAATAGAAAGTGCCAGGGCAAGAGTACAGGTGCAGACTCATTTTTAGTGCTTGCATTTCAAAGTTGTGTTTCTGACATGAAGTGTGATTTTTCTTTTAAGAATGAGGATAAACAATGAAGGGATTGGGTAAAAAAAAAAGTAGAAGGATCTCCTGCTCTTGTTAGGGTAAATGTATTTATTTTAAGGTTCTCTGAACATCTAGACACTGTTGCATTTTAGTATGGTTTCCTGTTTAGTGCTTTCCAAAAATATTGCACACTCAATGGCTCCCACCTATACGGCAAGGGAGTTTAGGAAAATGGGAGAAAGAAAGTGTGTGAAGAGAAAGACTTAGTGGATTACTTTGGTCTTTTTGTGTAGTGCACCAACATTTCAGAGTGTTTTAACTAAAAGTTAAGGAGCACTTTGCTAGTGCTGGCTGGCTACAGAAAGTAAACAGAAAGGCTCTTTGAAAATGGTAAAAGTTTGAAGAACTTGGAAAGATGAGTGTGTTAATCAGGCTTGCTAGTTAGTGGCTTGCAGAAAGAGAAAGGTAGGTGATTAACCCCTGGGCTTTATGGTTTATGAGGCCAAATTTGCTTCACTTTTTTTGTTCTTGCTAATCACTTTTAGATAAGCTGCCCCTTAGCATGGCTTTTTAGAGGTTAAAGCAGAAGTAATTAAGTGCACAAATCTATTTGCTAGTTGTGAGCAGATTTCCTTTACTTGTGTGGTCCTCCACCATATTTAACTTTGGATGCTTCTGTGTTGAATAGAGATGATGTTACATATTCCACTAGGCTATCACCTGGACTATGCTTCTAAACTGTGATGCTCTTACTCCTAGTGCTGTGTAGGAAAAATCATAGGTAGATACAATAATTTTTTTGAAGTATTGGTTTTACTCAGATCTATTTTTGGGGAAATACTCTGTGCTAAAACAAGATCTATATCATGGAACTGAAATGCTGAATTTGTATGCATAACATATAAAGCTCAATCCTTCAAAAAATGGCTCGCTTGTAGTGAGTGGTATGAGAACGCACCCTAGAACACCTGCAGGATTGCTTGCTGTCTTACCCCTTCAGGAGTATTCTGTCAGAAAAGTCTGTGATACATTCATTGACTTGGGGCAAGTACAGCTAACTGAGGCTGACGACAAAGGCAGACGATGTTCCTCGCAAGGGAAAGTTAAAAACTTTTCTGAATCGGCTTACTTGTGCTTAAACATTTGTGTTAACCTAGCATAGGATACATGGCTACTTGTTTTGAATTGTGTATTTGTGGATTTAAAGTGATTTTTCCTCCACATTCGACTTGAATTTGGAAAACTTAAATAAAGCTCTTCTGTTCCCTTTCGTCTTTGTGAGTTATTCTTCTCTGTAACCCAACTTTGACTTTCAAGCAATCGCACTGAAGAACTCTACACGTGTCGTTGCTTTCTTCAACATTTAGAAAGAAAACAAGAATGAGGAATTGTGCCTACAAATAAATAATGTTTTCAAAAGAAAGTAAAGGGGAAATGTGGCCGAAACACAAATACAATGCAGGAAATTTCTATAGGAACAAGAGTGTTTTAATAATAATAGAGAAATTGTATGGAATCATTCTCTTCCACCTCTCACCCTCTCTGTCATCCTGGGGTTTTTCATTTCCCTTCATTCTCACTGTCCACTAAACCCTGGGCCAAGCTGTAGAGGAAATTGTATCCTCATGATGCCTTTGTTACTTTCTGGGAGGACTTTTTGTAAATAGACATCTACTGTCTTGAAGAAAAAAACAATTTCTCTTCTGTAAGTTACATGAGAGGAAGAATATTTGGTAAGAGGGAGAGACCACCTATCTACTTTTCTCTCCTTCTTAGGAACTAGACACACTTGTGCTCTATTTTCTAATCATCGAGTGTTACATCTCTACTTTGTCCTTTCATTCTGAACTCAGTGGGTCCTGATAGAAACACAGTAGTTGAACGATGATTGTAAGGATGAGAAAAGTAACAGACAATTTGCAGTGGGTTATCAATGTTGGAAAAGACAGCTGAGCCTTATATTTTTATTACTCATCTGATTTCGAAGAACTCACAAATTTCTGCTTTCAAAAGTTGGTCTGCTTTCAAAACTTTTAAAAAAGAATCCAACTATTCACCCATTTTCTTTGAAATGCAAGCACCGTAGTTAGAGTCTGGAAGGAATGCATCACTTTCTCCAGGAGGATAAGCAGATGCACTACAGTTAGATGCTCAGAGGTTTGGCTCTGGTGTTTCTCTGTCTGTGTTCATATCCTAGCTCCCCCCTTTATTTACTCATAATCTAGGAAAAATGACACACCTTCTCCATGCCTCAGTGTCCTCATTTGTAAAATAGGAATAATAATGGTACCTATCTCACAGGACTTTTATAGGATTGTTTTGAGGGTTACCTTAAAGCACACAGAACAAACCATGACACTCAGGAAGCATTTTATTATCATTATTATTTTCCTTATTATTGTCCTAATCATTATAATTTAGGGATAGCTTTCTACCAGTGGGGTCATATATCCTTAGAGTGAAGCTATTGCTGTAGGTGACACATGGCAGATTTCTGTTCACTTTGGGAACTACAGGGTGAGTTCCTACTATGTGCTAGGCACTTTGATGACAGTGGGAAATCAAGGGGAGACGGAGACCAACCAGGTCCCTGACCTTTTAGGGCTTTTTTGAGGTGGAAAGAGGGAATGGAAATGACATTGATGTGGAGGATTAGCAAACAAGCAAATTGATTCATTTTTGACAGCTTGTCTTTCTGTAAGTAGATTTATCAAAGATACGAAGACTTCTTTCATTATCTTGTGAAGGCTGTGGGGGGTTACTTGAAAGCTTATCATGTGGACAGAGTTGGTTGCTTAGCTGTTTCCATCTTCAATAAGGGAAAGAGTAGGAGGAGATTAACTTTGTAGCAGGAATATAGATTGGCAATGAGATTTCTAGCAGTGAGGGAGGGTTGGAGAATTTCCTTCATTTATTCTTTCACTTGTAGGAATTTGTTCAGTATTAGCGCATACGCAGTCTGTGCCAAATGTAGAAGAAGAAGGGGAGTGTTGTTACCAAGTTATTATAAAAAGATTCACTTTTATTAGCTCCAGGTTTTTGTTTGTTGTTACTTAGAAATAAGAATAAAAAGTATGCTGTTTTTTTAAAATTTTAATAGACACTATCTAACTGAGCTATTTTTCTGATGGCCTGACATAAAATGGGTGATTAGAAATAATTGTCAATGCCTTTGGACTCTAGGATGAGAAAAAAATAAAAAAGAAATAATTTTCAAAAGCCATATTTCAGTGATAAATTGCCTTATTTGTATATTCGGTCATATTTGCCACCAATGAGAAACAATGCATGAAATACACAAAAACATCCCCCAAACAGTTGCTTTTCGTTTTCCTTTTTTTTTAAGCAACACTAAATGATTTAAGAGTGCTTGAATTTCATCTTTACTAATTGTTTTTCTCAGATAAAGGTTTGTCTCAGCGATGTTGGATAACGATTACGCAAATACATGCTAATCTAGCTAGGGAAATAAAATAGCCAGCTTGTATTTTCTAAATTAAGGACACTCCTGGATTAGTTTTTAGTGTTTATCAAGCAGGGAAGAATTAACACAACAGAACTATCGTTGCAGCGGATGGGAGGCGATCTGAGATCTAGAAGGTAGAAATCGGAAGCCTTCTCAAGATCCAGGAGTCCAGATACTGTCTACTCAGAGCCACCGGGGAAAACACTCACTACCTGCCCTGTTCCAGATTTGGTGCAAACTGAGAGTCAGTATTTGATTCGTATTTGGTTGACAAGGGGTGGGAACCAATGGAGATTACAATCGATTCAGTTCAGGAAGCAAGACATGCAAACTGAGCTGCCCGTTCTCTGAAAACCCATCCCCATCCTCCCCGCTCTGGGTCTTGGCAGGATGACTTCCGCACACTGCATCTACTGCACCCTTCAGTCCAGGGGAAGACCAGCAGGAGATCTGGGTCCCTTTCTGGCCCGCTGCCTGCTGGGCCTCTTCTTGCTGGTGGCTGAATTCCTCTACCAGGGCCACACCTCCTCTCAGGAGCCCGTCTCCTAAGCTACTGTTCCCCCTGGGTTACAGTACCTGCTGCATGCTCTTGCTCCTCAGCCCTAGGGATAGTTAAGGATTTCATTTAGTTGCCTTTGTCCCTCATCTTTTCTTGCTGGCTTCCTCTGTACTACCTACACTTCTGTAAGTAGTCCTTGATTAAATTCTCTCCAATCACTCCTATTAAGTGTGCCTTCTACTTTTTCTAGGGGCAGACGGATGCACAAACACATAACACTGTGACAAGTCAGTGAGAGCTGGCGGTAGCCCGGATGGTAAATGCAGTTGGAGTTGAGGGCAGATGGAGAGGTCGCTGTGGACCAGGGAAGGCAGCATGCAGGCAGGTGGATTTGATCTGTGATCTGAGGAAGGATGGGGTTTGCGTAATAGTTTGAATAAGACGTGGTGGAGGTGGTATCATCTAAGATAAGTGAATAGCCCCTACAAAGCGCTAGAGCTAGAATATACAATGAGCATTCACCATCACCAGTTAGAACAAAGTGATGGACACAGACAATGAACATTTGTTGTATGTGGAGAGTAAAGGATGAAGTTGGAAGGGCTGGGTGGGAACAAATTATGAAATGTCTTAAATACAGGAAAGCTTCATACAGAATCAATGAATATTATAATATTATCATCATAATTATACTTTTTCAACCCTATAACT